CTTAATCAAACCAGGGCAACATCCTTATTGTTCAAACTGTGGCGTTTTTTTGGATGCGTAGGGGTCCGAGGTAATACTTGAAACAACTTTAGCTTGGAAGCGGGGGTTGAACAGAATGGGTTATTCCGTGCCCGCAGCGTTGTGCGAATGTGGTTTAACAAAGCCGGTTCGATTCAAATGACGTTTTGTGGTAAAAATCGTTCAGCTGTCGCGTCCTCTCATCTTCTAGCTGCAACGCCAACAGTGAAGTACTCGATGGCTTGGATACAGCAATATTACCCACGCATGTATAGAAGCACTGGAGGTGCCTAGAATGAGTCCAAACCACGAAAAATACGGCCTGATACCGGGTGTCACAATTGTTTTAAGGTAAAAGCGATATCTTGGGATCGAAATGAGGAATGACGAAAGATAACTTTAAGACCATAAAAAGGATGCACATACATTAATCAACCATTTTCCCCTAATAGTTGAGTGCAATGTGTGTTGCAAAAATGCTAGCATGCGATCGTCGGTAAATTTGTCCTACCATCAAAGAGTGGTACACACACGGTTGGTAAGCTTTCCAACCCCCCTGTTGGTGGAGATTATACGTGTATCATGTAGGCGTGTAAAGCACCTTCCTGTTATGATTGTGAAGGACCCCGCTTTTGGATTGCGCCCAAGTTATATCCCAAAGTTTAGCAAAGCCCATCGAAGTGCGTTTAGCATCTATGTATGTAGTTCTCAACTTTAACACATCGCGATATCCTAAATATCTTATCAACTGCAGCATGAGACGGTTTTCAGCAGCACATGCAGTTCGAAGTTTTCATCAGAAAGAAATTTATTTATGTCACGTGTGAAAAACCAGATTGACGGGGTGTTCGGTGTCTTCCGATAATTTGATTACGGTTGATTGATGTTCGGTGTCTTCCGATAATTTGATTACGGTTACTTTCCTTAAGTCGACCATTTCAGGTTTCATCACTTACCTAACTTTATTAAATGGGTTCATTGACATCAAGTGTCAAGCCCTAAGCCTCCATCTGTTGTAAAATTCACCGGATGGTAAAATGTTCGCGTTTACATTCAAGCAGGGAGCAGGGTATTTGGCAATGAAGTAGACAGTGAAATTGACGGACATGCAGAGACTGATGGGCCTGAAGATTGACATAATTCTTTGTGGGCTAACGAGCAGCTTGCAGCTTCTGAAGGCTTATCTTGGTCATCATGAGTGAGTAGATACGGAGATAAACATGGCAGTAAAACTCCGAACGACCAAACATGCACTCCGTAAAGTCATGAACATTATGGGTAATATGACTCAGTTATCTGAAAAAAGCGCTCGGATCAAATATATCCCGACACCAGTCCATTTGAACCAGTCTTATTTTCACTATTCATGTGCCATGATCATCAAATCGCCTTCACGTTTCAAGTACCTGCATTCTTCTCCAACCTATTCCGCCGTAGTTGTCAGTGTAAGCCATGTGATCTAGGGCCACGCCAAGAAAATCGATCGATGCTTCACCAACGTATGACCATGATTTGTTTAAACGGCTTACCGTAAGCGACAGGGTAACAGAGAACGGGGGAGACATTGGCGACAACCTACCAAAATCGCCGTGAAACGTAAGCAGTTATATTATCTCGGGTCCCTAATCTGTGAGCTAAAAGCAACGATAAAGTGCCATCCTCAACGTGTAGCCACATAAGTTGGAAGTATTCAGCTACTCATTGCACTACCCTATGAGTATTCCCAATCGATCATCAGATGAAACCACTGCTGATGCTTGGTTGTTTTGACGGCCAAATGATGCGGTGTGAAGCCTTCTTTAGCAGCCACGTTGGTGAGTGCTACTCTAACTTAGGCAGCTTCTTTTTGTTAACAGTGGGCATGATTTTTTTAATGATGAAGTAGACACGGAAACCACAGAAAACTGAAAACCAAGTGGATTTAGGAGTGCCGCGGTTCGAAAGATAAAATAACATTAATTACTTCCAATCTTCAGAACGGACTCCTAAGTCCGTCAAATTGTGGAGGGGGCAAGGTCATTGTAAGTTTTTTAAAGTGGTCCCATGGAAAAAACGGTGTGCTTATTCAATGAAATCTTGCACGCTATCACCTGAAGTTTTCAGAAAGTTCAATTTAACTAATGAATTAGGGAGCGAGGTCACCTTAAGTTTTCATGAGCTTTCCTTACGAAAAGTGAAAAAAATCGAATGTGGCTCGCTTTAAGCGGACGGTTCTGCCAAAAACTGGCGTGTTTCCAGGTTCAAAGTTATTTGATAAGTGCTATATTACCCAGGTACCGAGAAAATCAGAAATTGCTGTTTGCAAAAGTAAAATGAAATATCTAAGATGAGAATGCACTCCAAAATTGACAATTACACCTACAACATAATTCGCTGCATGGAGAATTAAAATTGACCACCGCTTGAATGAAGCCCCTTTGTGCGGAAAGTTTTATTGCATAAGTTTCAACCACAGATACATTTGCGAAATCAGGCGTCTACTCAGATGAAACGATCATTGTGCAACACGTTGCGTTCCAATTCAACGTGACTATGTGTTGTTCATTGAGTTCCTTAAGGAAGTAGTTGAATTAATCCGCACGCGGTATGCACACCTGCAATCATCAAATACCTGCCTCTTCGTGCACGACAGAAAACTGTGTGAATCCAAATAATGCCGCAATATTCACGATGATTTGAAACGATGATGGGGCACACCATGCGAAAAATGGATGATTTGTAAAGTAATCATTTCGATGGTTTGAATGCCGATATATTCAGCTGTCGGGCTTAAGGTATGTTGTTTTCATGATGGGAAACCTGTGCACAAGTCGAGCACTTTTCGTAATACGAGACTGGAGGTGACGGATATTGCTTTGTGTGAGCATCGTTTGTTCGAATGTCACCGCGTAATTAGGAAACACAACCGTGTCTCTTGCAGTTACCCAAAAGGCTGAACGGAGTTGGAGTCTGATCGATTGATTGTAACGTTATTGGTGGAAAACTGACAGTTTTTAGGTTTCGAAACCTGGATAGTACTAAAGGTAGATTGAGACTTGTAAGCCCTCGTCCGCTCCGCTGTTTAGCTAGAAACAAAACTTAGTGCCATCATCAGTAAATGATAAATTAAATAGATGCCCAGACGGGATTGTCGGCGATGGATGCAAATCCACAAAGACTCTTGATATCACCGGTACTTTGGGTACCCGTTTGTTGAATGGTGATAGGTGTTTTACTTTCACTGACAGCACCATACAAACTGCGTTCTTTCAAGGTTGATGAATTATTGTCTGAAGCCGGCAGCCACCACAATGAAGTACTCAGTCCCGCACAACGAGCAAAGAATTTGGCGGACGATATTTGAGGTACAAATGTGTGAAGCCGTGTTGTAAAGTCCACTTGCCGTTCACCTACTTGCCCTCTTTTCATTCAGTGAAATTAAATATACATACTGGGATGGAACAGGATGAAAACGCAGTTTAGTTTCCTGATTCACATGCACGCTTTTCCTGGAACGTCAAAGATGTACGGATTTCCACACTGGATGTTCCATCCACCATATACAATCCATGATGTCAGCCATGTTTCCCCTAATAAACTGGTGTTGGCAGAGTACGCTTTGACGATGCAACCACTGTAACGACTTTTCGATGCATAGCTTCTGTGTCACTAGGAGGGAGCACCTGCTTGAATAATCTCCTCTCTATATGAAGGTTCATACTTGAATGCATGCCGCGAATGCAAGGCGCACTCCATGATAAATGACTCAACTTGCGTCTTCAAACTATCATATAACGGAAGAAAAATACATCGTGATCAGCATTTCAAAAATATTTTTAACTTTGGACTAAATTTGGTAAACAGTTCGCGAAATACCAGTATGTGCTGCACGTTATGGGTGTTTCTGAATCCAGAGCTTCCATCTGCGGTTGCCTGCTTGGCGAGACAACATAACTCGGTACACTGGTACTCATGCTTCTATAGTACTTGCATACAGACTTCTACCAGTCTCCCCCACTACTGCGCGTCGCATCTCATAATGTGCACCATTACGTCTTTCTTGCACAACAGCCAAGTGTCAAGGTGATTAAGAATCGCTGCGCTGACAGTTTGATTCCAAAAGCTGTAAAGTTACGACTGGAACACCAAAAATCTGATTTCGAAGGCAACATTGCTCGATACAGCTGGGTGTTTAATACGAATGCCAATGAAAACAGATTTTCAGATTCATATAACGCAATTTATTGGAATTGAGATTCTACTGAATGCATCATTGACGTCATTACTGTATTGGTTTCAGTCCCTAGATCTGGGAGTACGAATCGTGATAACCGAAGTAAAATATTCGTCCACATATTAAAGTGGGTCTTTGCGCTCATGTTAACCGAGTGAAAATTATAGCGCCCCATTGGACACAAAAATTAAGTTTGTCATTCCAAATCATGATATTTTATTGCTATTAGCTTCATTGTTACGGCGGGATGGTTTCAATAATTCTACGGAGAATGCCACGATATTTACTTCAGGCTGTAACATAAGTCCGTTTTTTTTCAAAAAAAACATGTTTAGAAAATAATAAGTGCATTAGTACAGAGTCCCTGAGAGGTGTTTCAATTTAGGACTTCATTTTTAATGGAATTAGGAATTTCGTTTAATTTTTCACATTCATCAAGTGTTTCAGGAGTGTTGGTTTACCTATAATTGGCCGGCCAATGAAATGACGTGCCTCACATAAATGCGCTGTCAGTGTTAGCTTAACAAAACTATGTTTCAGAAGATTTCGCTGAGAATAGTCCCAGTGGCCGTTTAATCAATTTGGATTGACGTGGAGCAACATGACTAAATTTCTCAAGTTTTGTTAAATGTGCAAGTGTAATTAACCACATTCTGGAATCTGTTGAATACTCCCAAGTTGCATAGCCGTATTCCAATTCTTATTGGGGCACACAATTTGCTTTCTCAGGCCGACCAGTTAATCAGTTTATCAGCTCTATATCAATCACCATAGGCATGGTGACTCGAGCTTCCAAAGTTTTGATCATCCAACTGAGGGGAAGAGCTCTGGGAATACAGGGAGGCTTTGGATGTAATGACATGATTGTGTAGCTGGGAAATCTGTAATCACGCATTGGATCGCATGGATTTGGTACAAGAGCTCCACTAAATCCGCTACTGGGGCATATATGCTTAGTGTCGTTTGACGCGGGTAGGCAGAATCTTGTGATGCGCAACAAGATATGTGACAGTTGTTTTCGCCAAGTCGCCCTTAAACCACTGATATGACGAGAGCGAGCCATAAAACACTAATCCTCAAAAACGTTTTCTCTTCAGAAATCAGTATTTTCTGGAATTCACCATTCGAGAATTCGGTAATGGATGGGTTTGTTTCATTTTCCCAAGGTTATTGTTGGCGCACTAATGTTTACGTCCGATGAAGTCTGCTTTC